GTATCACGAGCCCGATGACCAGAAGTCGCGCTCCGTGAACCTGGCGAAGGTCGTCGGATGCGATCATGACGACGAAGCAGAGATGGTCGCTTGTTTGATGGAGGTGCCGGCCAACGATCTCGCCACGGCTCAGCTCCACCCCGACGTGCTCGTCCTCGACCATGCTCTGGCCTCCATCCTGGGCTTCGAACCCACGATCGACGGCAGCTTCTTGAAAGACGCGCCCGAGAATCTACTGAAGAATGGAGAATTCAAGCGCGCGAGCGTCATGTTCGGAACGGTTCGTGACGAGGGCTCATTATTCATGATCTTCTCACTGCCTGCGCTGATCACACTTCCGGACCCCACCAACGTCAGTGTCGACCTGTACGAATCGAGCATTCCGAAGTTGCTGCCAACGTACAGTGATGGCGTACACAAAGTAAACAAAGCGATGATGAGGGGGTGGGGCGGTTATCGGCTGGATGGAATGATCTGTGACGGCGTGATGTAAGATGAGAGGAGACGGAGTGGGATGCGGTGCGGTGAATAAAACTGAGATGCGGTTGTGTGTGTGTGCGTGGGGAAATAGAGTGTTTTGGTGTGGGATGAATGACGCGTTGAGTGTTAGGGTGGAATTGGATGAGGTGGGTTATGGGCCTGCGAGAGATGAACTGGTGTGGGAGGAAATGGGAAGTGGCGGTGTGTGATGATTTGTGATGCGGTAATGTGAGGTAGCAAAACTATGTATATTATTATACTAGCAATGATATATTTTTATTGTATCATTTGATCAAAAATTACATCTATGTTCTTTAGTTTCTTCGTATTTACTTAGCGTTTTAGCATCGGCCATGATTACATGTGAAGTAAAGTGGTGAAAGACCTTTAGTAAGGATTCTGCTGTGAAGGCTATTCTAAGTTTTCTTCTATATTCGTCTGAGCACACGATAGTTCTACGCGCTACAATTCTCTATTGACACTCGAAAATGGTCTGAAACTGCTTAATTCTTGTCGTAACTGCCTTCCCTTCGTCGCCTTGACCTATTCCTACTGGTTAGTTCCACAAGATCAATTCACAGGTAATCTCGTTATACGCATCCGGTTTAAGACGCAAAATACTGAGAGGAAGATTATGAGAAATTAAAAGACATCTTTCAAATATTTCTCTGCTGTCGCTCACACAGTTGCTGCCATATTGATTACATCGACGTTTACAACAATTGAACATTTACAGGTTGTCGCCTTCACCTACACTGACTGGTCGTACGCTCCCACCTCCAGAAGCCAGTCTCTAATTGACATGATTGGTGACTACCACTTCGTCTGCCCCGCCGTTAAGGAAGCAAGCCGTTATGCGGACGAGGGAGA